GAAAAGCAGTGAGCAAAGTGTGAGCGAGTCTGCAGGGGGCTCAGCAAAGAGTTGTGCTCTGGAGAGACACTGACTGGTTTGTGCATAAAGAGTGACCTTTTCTCAAGCTTTATTTCACTGCCAGAGCCCTGTAGAAATTAGCAGCCCTTTGGTCTGGCAGGAGTCCTGGAGTGAGCTGTAAGTGACTGACATCACCACAGGTCTGAGTTGCCACGGAGCTCTGTGGGGCAGGGCACGTTTCATAAGCAATTTCTACCAACCTAAATGATAGTGGTGTCAGGCATACAGGCTTCCTGCCTGTTGTGGGACCAGCTACATTGAAGATGGGAGCTCCAGGCCAAACTCACTCATTGTTGCTTGTTTTTCTTCCCTTAGAAAGCTGCCTGGAGCAGCTGGAGATCCGATTCCCCAGGGAACCTCTGCACACCACGTTCCTGCTGCCAGTGCTCAAGGCATCGAAGTCCCTCCAGCAGCTGTCCCTTGACAGTGCCACGCTGCCCTGCTCTCAGGAGCTCGGGCTCCTTCTGGAGGCACTCAAAGGTACCCCTTGGGCAGCATCACTGGGGCACACACAGTGTAGCTTTCTTCAGTGTGGACCCTTGAAGTCTCCTGAGAAAAGGAAATGGGTGTCAGCCATGGTTCCTTTTTAATTACTCACAATCCAGCACAAATTACCTACAGTCCAGCTCAGTTTCTGGGTGTTAGCTGGTAGCTGGGTCAAGGGCGTACAGTGCTTTACCTGAGAATTTGTTTTGCTTTTAGAGTGTACTCCAAATTTGAAGAAACTGAGCTTTCATGATGTGAACCTGGCTGAGCACCAGAAAGAAGTTCTGCTTTTGCTTCAGGATCCCGTCCTGCAAGGTACAGCAAACTCCTGGGTGCTGTTGCTTGGAAAGATGCTGCTGGTGGCTGCTTTCAGCTGGCTGACATTTAAGAAGTGATCTTTGGACGTGTAAGGTTTAGCCAAATGTCAGCAGTCCCTGGAGCAGATCTGTAGCTGCTGGCAGAGTGGGAACGTGCCTGGTTCTTTGTGCCAGCAGGGCAGAGAAGAGCAGCTGCAAGGCTGATGTATGGTGCAGAGAAGAGTCTGTAGTCTCAGCTATAAAACAAAGATTTTTAACCTGCAGAGCACATCAGCCTTTAACTGGGTCAGCTGGCAAAGCCACTTCCCTGGGTGTGATCTCAGCTGTCTTCCTGACAGAGCAGAAGTGCTGTTATATGCAATCCACGGCTGGAGTAGCTTTGTTATTCCATATGGATTAGGGACTGGAGCTGTCTGCAGAATGTAATCATGGAATAATGAGGCGCAGGGAGTACTCACATGTACTGTCAATCCATTTCTTCCACAGAAATCACGTTTTCCTTCTGCCGGCTGTTTGAAAGCTCTACTGCTGAGTTTCTGTCAGAAATAATCAATACAGTGAAAAGAAATTCATCCCTGAAGAGCCTCAAACTGCCCGGGAATCGCCTCGGTGCGTACAGTGAACACTGCCGTGGGGCCTTAGACCAGCTCTCTTGGAGGTAACTTCAGGGCTGGAGTCACTGACAGCTGGGGACACTGCAGTGCTGAAATTATCACATCCATGAACAGAGTCCATTTAGCTCACAAAGTAAGGAGCACTGGGTTCATTTTTTAAAGGCAAAATTTCAGTTGTGATCAGCAACATACCAAGGGCCCAAGCGCCACATGGGCATTACAGCTGCTTTTCTCTGCAGCAAAAGCAAGTATCAGCAGGTCTCCAGATTTGACTGAACACTGATCTTCCTCAGGCTCTTGGACAGGAACAGATCCAGCAGCAGATGTTCTGCCTCTCATTCAAAGGCGCAGATTTTGCCCAAGTTTGGGCATTTTGTGTCTTAACAGCTGTTGGCAGCCACTGGAGGGATGGGAACAAGTAAAGTTTGTGACTAAGTGGATCTGAATTTTGAGAAATGATAGGCTTTTTGGATCAGAAGCCAAGAAGAAATGTTTGAGAAATTAATTTCAGGTGAATCCAGAATATTCTTTTCTGTTCTTTTAATGAAATAAAACAGAAAAGCTTGGCATAACCTGAATACGCTTAATTTCTAAAACAAAGCTGCATATGGACTTCTCAAACAAAACCAGAATTTTTCTAGTGAAACAACTGCCCTATGAGCAGATGTCTTCATTGCCTTGAACACTGTGCTCATGAGGATGAATTCACTTTAGGCCACTTAGGGGGACAAACTGAGGGTGCAGAGATGGGCCCTTTGTGCTGTGTTCACATCATTACAGCCTCCTTTCTGCACTGTTATCCCAGCCCTGTGGCCATTTAAAATTTCAAAACAGTTCCCAGTTTGCATCTAAGTGACATTTCTCCCCTTTTAGGGAATCACAGGCTGGTTGCCCTTGCAGACATTTTCTCTGAAGATTCCTCCTCTTCTCTTTGCCAGCTGGATGTCAGGTATTCTGCTGCACTAAACACTGAATTTCTTGTTTGGGGAGGGACAGAGCTGAACTGGGCTCTGGCATCATGAGAACCTGAGCATGGTTTTGTTCCTTCCTTGAGGGAATGTGTGCCCAGGAAAAGCTGAGAGTACTGCAATGGGCACGTACAGCCTCAGGAACCTCCAGCATCTCTGAGGCATCTCACTGTTCCCTTTATATATGAGTCAAGCTCCATCTTAAAAGCAGCTTTGGTTTGCTGCTCCCTTGGGAGGCTGCTGCAGGCCCTCCCCAAGCTGTAGGTAAGAAGTAACATCTCTATGTTTATTCTTAGCCCTCAGTATGAACAGCTCTGTTTCCACTGCCCCTGTGGAGGGAATGTTGTCAGTGCCTGTCAGATCCTGTGGAGGCCTCTACATTCCTTTCCTCATCTTTGGTCTTTCATCTGAAGTGCTGCTCTCTTCTTGAGCCTGAGTGGCCATAAGGATAGGCAGTTAACCTTCATGAAGTATGTGGGGGGTGGCATTTCTGCAATATTAACAACTGCATTGCATGATTCTGCCCCCACCCTTTCCTTACATCCTAATGGCTCAGGTTGCAGACACACAGGCTTGACAATTTATTTAACCATGGCTACTCCTTCAGCAGCCTTGAATCCTCATTGTTACTGTACCTCTGACAAGATTCAAGTCCAGCACGCAGCTTGATATTTATTTACACAGCTGTGCAAGGGAAGTGACCTGTGAATCTCCTAGAAACACCAGGACCTGACACATGCTCTTCAGATTTTCTCAGAAGGAAGACATAAATGATCACTTACTGCTGAGGCTGGTGCTGGGGCTTGTAGGTTGGGGTAAGCCCCTTGGTCCAGGCAGCTGACAGCTGCTGTGAGACTGAAGTGCTCCTGGCACTGCTTAGCCTGCAGCTTGGGTCCAGCAACATTTTAAGGCCACATCTAGATCTACTTAAGTCAGTGGTAAGGAGGATAATGAGTTTAACTTGTCAGCGGTTACCACCTTAGTTTTAAGATGTTTCCAGCCCTTCATATTACTGTGCTTCAGTTTTGTTTTTCACACTTTGTACTGCTGAAGGGGCACTTAGCCTTGAAACATCCCCACGTACCTGCACTGGCAGTTACTAGAGGGAACAGTAATTTAAACTGCTCAAATTATAGCCTAGACTCTTAATGACATTTTTCAATCTTTCTTTCCCTGGAAAGCTCAAATTGCATCAAACCTGATGGGCTCCTGGAGTTCACAAGGAAGCTGGAAGGCCACATCCAGCAGAGAGGGGGACAGATTCAGTTCACACACCTCCGCCTCTTCCAAAATTGGCTGGACCAGGACACAGAAACAGCTCAAGAAGCGCTTCGGCGTCTCAAAGCTGTGTGCAGTGTGGTCAACGACTCGTGGGACTCCTCCCAGGCCTTTGCTGACTACATCAGTGTCATGTGATGGACACAGGAGCAGAGAAAACCCATCAGCTTGAACCAAGCAGTTTGGTCCCAGGCCAGGACGATTGATTTCGCAGCACAGGTGGGGGTTTCTTCCCCTGCTTCAAGCAGTACAGAGTTGTTCTTGTCACTTTTCTATTCATTTGAAGGGTTATGACAGTGAAGTGACACATGAGACCATGTGGGTCAACAGCTATATTTCCAGGTGATCTAAACTCTACCATCTTCCTTTAAGTGGGACATGTATCAAAGGGGCTTCTGTGACTTCCTGCAGGTTTCTGAACATGCAGTTATTTATTTCACTGGGTGTTGTGACAAATTTCATGTTGTTTCAGCCAATGCCTCATCCATAACCACCTCCATTGTGGGAGAGACTCAAAAGCCATCTGGTTGTGGTCCTTGGCAACCAGCTCTAGGAGACCCTGCTTTTGAGGAGGGCTATTGCACAGTATCACCTGAGGTCCCTTCCAACTTCAGCCATTCTGTTAAATAAGAACTCCTTCCTCCACTTAAAGGGAGTAGAAGCTAATCTTAAACAAAGCCCCCATGCCTTTCCCTTTGGAAAATTTTACTTTATACCAAAAAAAATGCTTTATGTACCAAGTAGCTTGCTGTTTATTTGCAATCCTGTTGCCCCTTTCCAATGTCTGCAGTCATTTTACAGAGGTTTTAAATAGTCTGGTCTTTTGTAACATTTTTACAATAAAAATATATTTAAGACCCGTAATGTACTTAAGTGTGAATTTTATTTCTGGCTGGTAAGGTGATCTCAATTAAAACACTCTGCTAGATCAGGGGATCCTGCCCATAACAAAGCAAGTGGTTTTAGAAATTAGTTACCATAATAGAGCCTGATTTTCTACTGCCTGCATGATCCTTCCAGTCAGATGTTCAACATAAAAGCTAAAATTTTTTTCCCTTGTACAAATCCTGTTGTTCCCAAGTAATAAGCCAGGTTCACATTTCACAGCAGAAATGGATCCTGCAAGTTTTGATCAGCAGCTGTAAGCCATAGCTGTCAAGGAAAAAAAAAAAAAACAAACACATGACTGCACATCAAGCACTCTAAAACTCCAGGCCTAACTTACACCTGGCTGAGTCGAAGGCACAGACACCAACAGCAGGAGAACCAGTGCTAAGTCAGATCAAGCATGCAAGGTCCTGTTATTCCCAGTTCCCAAGGGGATGTTTTTCAGGCACACAATACAACAGCAGAGAAAAAGCCACGGACTCCTTGCTGTTGCAGTAAACTGAACACTGCCAAGGGCCCTTCCAGCCGCTCAAAGCCACGCTGTTCTGCTATTCCACAGCCACACAACAGTCCAGCAGGCACAGCTACCCACTGCCCCTTTCCTTGAAAGGGATTAAACTTGCCCCCACAGGGGACAGTAACCTGTTAGGGAATCCCTCGCTGCTCCTCATGGGAGTGATGATGGAAAGTGAAGGTGACGGCGGCGTCCCAGGCAGCCTTCAGCACGGAGTCCTGCAGCCCCCGCTTATCCGCACAGTGGTGCCACTGGGACAGGTCCGAGGTGCAGTCGGAGCCTTCGGGAGGGGGCCGTACCTGGTGCCCGTTCACACAGCGGCGGCACTTGATCCTGGAACACAGTCGGTGCAAGATCAGTGCAAGGCTCCTCTGCTGCTTCAGTGTATGGGTTGTTTAAAAATGCAGCCCCGGAACATTTGGATTAACTCCCCTCCACCTGTAACACCAACAACTGGATTTCCAGTTTCTGAATTACTACCGTGTTTCATTTAAACACACAATTACCTTCTGGTGAACTTGACAAATACAGAGTGACTCACACATTCTGGAAACCCAGAGGTTTTGTTTCTAATGGCACTCCCTCTCCACATTTAACCACGTGGGAATAGTCCAGCAGGACCGAAAGGAAGTTGAAGTGGAGTTTCCCCTGAAAGGTGTGGGACATTGCTTTGAGCAGCTCTGGAGTGACTGCTGCTAACTCCTTCTTAGTATTGCATCAGGATTCCTGAATTCAAAAGAGCACACTATACTCCAAAATGCTCCATCCTGGCTCCCACTACAGCCACCTGGTTGTGCTTGGGCTGTTTTGGAGATGCCCTACTGAGCTGTCACATAAGGAGACAAAGAGCAGCAGCAGCCCTGCCAGCAAGGGCTGTTGCCATGCAGACTGGATACCTACACTGAGCTAAGCTTTGAGTCACCTTAAAACTAATCCTCTTCATTTCTTGGCTGAACTAAGAATCTTAACCTTCACAGTGAAGCATTTTTCCTGCACTCCCTGTTCTCTTTCTGGTGGCTACAATATCACAGGTCTCAGGAGTGGGGGAGAAGGGCAGACAATGGAGGATTGTTTTAGTCCCTGGAAGAGCACTTGGGTTGGCTTCATGAATTCTTAGCAGATAGAGAAGCCCTAGCAGTGGGAAGCAGTTCAGCATTCAGAAATCACAGACCAACAGGAAGAGAGCGACAAGGAAGGACCAGGTTGGGCTCCACCAATCTGAGCAGCTCTGATCCATTTCTCTCTTTTCACTAACTGCAGTATTTTACAGTTTCCAACCACAGGCAGCAACAAGATAGTTTGCTCACTTGTCCAGCCAGCACAGCTTTTCTAAGACAACAAAAAGGGAGGACAGCAAGGAAGTGCTCATCCCCAGACAGTTAACAGCTTCAGAAGCAGAGACGCTTGGGCCCCCCCTCTGAGTTTCCTCCTGCAGCCTGAGGAATGCCTGAGGAATCCCTGAATCACAAGACCAAACTGTGGAGTGGTTCTTTTGCTGTCTCAGCGACTCATCATTCAGACTACTCACTTGTCATGGGTGTCACTGGTGGTGGTCTCATTCAGTGTGAAGAGCTCCTTCAGCTCCCCAAGGGAGAAGTGCCTTTCTACATCCTGCTCTTCATCCACCACACAGCTGCTGAGGGCCTTCTTGTGGGTCTGGCGTTGGAATATCTTCTCCTCTATGGTCCCTGTCTACACGGGAGAGAGTCAGAGATGAAGCACAACTGGGACACCAGTGTTATAGGAAGTGTCACAGATCAAACAGCACTAAGCTGTCAGGAACCCTCAGGGCCTTGCCAAGCCAGTACAGATGACAGGCAAGTTTTACTGTGCTGCACTCCAACCATGTCTGTTTGGTTCCTGATCCAACCCCACTCTGCTTGTCTTTCACTGTGGCTACAGGAGTGGATCCAGTGGACATATGGATGAGGAAGAGGTGGAGCTGCCACTCGTAGCTAAAGCTCAGAAGTGCACCAGGTTGTGCTGACAGGAAAGAAGGGAAAAGAGCTGAGCAGCTACAGCTGCTCCCTGACAAAAAATCCCAAACACAACCTTGCCAAAACACAGCAACAAGGGCTAGCCCTGGGTGACACAAGCATCAGAAATATTTGCTGGCTCACCCACACACAGATCAATCACACCCTGTCTGGAGGGAGATGACTGCTTGTAAAACAGATGTGCAGAAAGCCCAGTGTGCTACATTCTGAAGGCAAAAATCTAAGAGCAAAATGTCTGTTTTGCAAACAAACATAATACCAAGGAGAGGGGTGATTAGTCATGATTTGCAGACTGGTTTCCTAATTCTACAAGCAGTGCTTCCAAGTGCAGCCAGGCCAGAGAAGCAGCGTAACTCCATCAGGAAGAGATGGGCAAAGAATGTCCGTTTTGTTAAAGTAAAAATAATAATTGGTCAAGGAACCCAAGCTTACACTCAAGAAAAACCCCAAAACCCCCAAAACAACCTCAAAATACACACTATAAAAAAAATAAAAAAGAAGAAACCACAGTCTGAACTAATGGGAGGTGAATGTGAACAGGGGCAGAGAAGGGACATTTCTGAGCAGTAATCACTACTGGCATTGCTGGACAAAGTGTTACAGTAGCCTGAAAAGACTAGTCTCCTTCATGGTTTTCCACTACAGAGCAGTTACCCCACCTGCTAACTGGCAGCCCCATCCCAAATGCTGCTGTAATTCCAGGAATGCACCTGCTGTTTCTTAAGCACACGTACACCCAACTAAAACAGGCTGCAGCCCGAAAAACAGCAACTTTGGCATCAGACATCCCACGAAATTAAAGAAGTCAGATGCCTAAACGACTTCAAAGGAGCATCTCTTATCTGCAAAGCCACAGTTGTTTCTATTTCCCAGAAGCCAGACACTGTTAGAAACCAGGGGCTGCAGTAATGACCCTCCAAGCTAGAGCCTTCATGGTTTTCCATGGCAACACATCTAAGGGTAGGAAGCAATTAAGTTCCAATCAATTCTGGTCACCGACACAAAAAGGAGTTCTTTCCCTCCTGGCCCAAATCACAGCAGCTGCAGTCTGGGCTGGCACCCAGTCTGGGCTGGCACCCAGAGCTCCACGCTGGGGAGGTGAGAGGAGTCTGACTCACCGAAAGCAGTCGGTAGATGTAGCACATCTTCTTCTGGCCGTCCCGCCACACGCGAGCCATGGCCTGCTCATCGTTGGCCGGATTCCAGTCGGGGTCGAACATCACCAGCCTGTTGGCCCCAATCAGGTTCAAACCACAGCCACCTGCTTTGCTGCTTAACATGAAGATGAACTCGGGGCTCTGGAAAAAGGCAGGCTTGGATTAGACCACAGAGGCAGCCACACTTTTACTCGCAGCCCTCAGAACTGGCAGGAGACCTGCTCGCATCTGGCGGGTTCCACTCACCGAGGGGCTGTTGAATCGCTCCACAATCTTTGCTCTCTTTTTAATGGACATGGTGCCGTCCAGCCGGACATATAAATACCTAGAACAGCATTTACTACAATCAGACTGCTGCCATCTTTAGAGCATCCTACTTATAAGAGAAAAATCTGTCAAAACCAGCTCGTAATGGGCTTTAGGAACTTTTGCAGAGGGCCAGAGATTTTCCGCTAAGTGACCCCAGCAGACAAAGCTCAAGCCACAGTAGTTCCAATTCAGGAACACTTGAGGTAAAAGAGATCATGAGTTCCTGCTGATAGAAAGTGTAGAAATAGACAGTTCTTTTACAGTGTAGGCTGCAAGTACAGTCTCACAGGATTAAAGAAGCAAAGCCCAAAGACAAACCTTCTGCTCCTGCAGAGCTTTTCAAATAGATCCAGTGTCTGAGTGTAGTTAGACACTAAAACCACCTTGTCACTACTGGTGCTTTTGGTGACAGCAAGGATGTAATCCAGAACCAGCATCTTTCCTGGATAAAAATGAAAGAAAGAAAAAGCTAGAGCAGAAGCTCCCAAATTCCAGACCTTGGAAGGGCACTTGATAAGATGCTAAATACAGTCTCATGGCTGCCTGTGCTAGTCAGCACATCTGTACTGTTGAGTTCCACAGTACCTGAAAGCTGGGGCTCCACAGATTTGGTGCTGTAGCCAGCAGGGAACAAGTCCAGGGCTCCCATAAATCCTTCTTCCTCTTCCACACACTTATCATGGATAAGAGCAGGGTCTGGAGAATAAACAGAGCTCAGAAAATGTGGAGTGCACAAGGGAGACCCCAAAAAACCCCACCAACAGTGCAAAACCCGAAGCCACTACATGACTGGAACAACTCACGATTACAGAGCTTCTTCAAGGAAGTGATGGAAGAGAGAGATGACACACTGATTTTGCCCTCCTTCAGCTCCTCCACTGGCTTGGCTTGCTTCAGGAAGTTCTTGTACAGCTCAGCCTGCAGAGGTGTCAGTCTGAAACAGAACAAGAGCTCTGCAGTCTCAGCTTGCACCCAAACCAAAGCCCATCCTGCTCCACCTGCACAGTGTGTTCCTTTCAGCTTAATTTTTTTTAGCTACAGTATGGACAGACTAGAACAACCCCCAAAGCTGCTGGTAGAGCATTGCTATCCCAGCCCAGAGCTGGAAGAGAAGCCTACAGATGCTCTGCATGGCCCAGGGCTCTGCTGCACACCACCAGAACACCAGAACCACCAGTTGTGGGTTGCCCATCCTGGCTTCAGGAGGAAAAGCAACATATTGCCAATGGCTACAACTTCATTCCTAGAGGGAAGCAGCCACAAGAACTGAAGGGCTCTTTGCAACATTTTAGTCCTTCCTGTTGCTCATTCCATTTCCCAGGCACAGTACATGCTTTTTTGGTACCTGCAGCAGACCACCTGCTCAATCTTCACTGGCAGGTATTTGGACAGGATGTCTGAAGTTCTTCGAATTAAACATCTGCAGGGAGAGAAATTAAGATCAGATGCTTGGATGACATCAAACCCCTGTTTTATCACTAGTTTTCCTCATGTGGTCAAAACACAGTTCCTTTGACATCTTATCTCCAAAAGCCTGTGACAGTCTAACACATGGAAAAGGCCAGACACCCACCATCCACACGAAGCCATGTTACAGAGCTCAGGATAACCCACTGTCTTTGACAGACTTCCAAACGTGGTTCATGAAATTTGGAGGGCTCATGCTTGATTCCATCTAACAGAGCTCAGTCACTTACAAGAGAAACTCTGTTCTTTCTCAAAACACCAACAGCACTCACAGTTTGAGCTACAAAGACCAGTAGGATGGACAGCAAATGAGGACAGGAATTAACCATCACACACCGTGGGCATAATCCAAATTACAAGCAGGCAGCTCCCCACTTAGTAGCCATCCTCAGCCAAGATGGCCCAAGGTTTCAGCAAAGGGCAAAATCCTTTGGGGCTCTGGAAACGCCCCATGGAGCAGTTCTACCACACTTAAGAAAAGATGGGATGAATTAGAAAAAGTGCTGAACTGAGCAACTAGAATAAGAGGTGCAGAAACCCAGTTCTGCCAGGAAACATCAAAAATATGTTACAAAACCTACAGAAGAAAGCAAGGATGTATGACAGCTCCAAAATCTGTCAAAGGCTGGTAAATAAAGGAATAATCTGATCTCCAAACCCATAAGCAGTAGGATGAAAAATAATAGGCTTAAACTGCAGTAGGGGAGATTTATGTTACACATTAAGAGCATTTTCTAACTGCAAAGACAGTGATGCCCTGGAAAAGGTGTCCTAGGGAATTGCAAGGTCTTCAGTGCTGGGTGGGGGTTAAGAAATGGTTTAGGCCTAACATCTTCTACTTTAGGACAGCAAAACGGATTAGATGCCTTCTCTGGGGCCCTTCCAGCCTTACACCTGTTATTCCACATGGTTTTACATCACCATCCCATTTGCAACTCCTACCAAACCTATCAGATTCATCTGTTACTCCTTGTGTGCTCCATCTTCCCTATTTGTGTACTATGACTGTTGCACAATAAAGGAAGGGACACAGACCTCAACAGAGCCAGCCACAAGCATTCCTGAACACACTTTTACACCCCTTTTCCATCAGCTATAAAGAGAAATTAATGCACCTAAGGAATAAAAGCTCTTCTCCTCCCAACGTTTCCTTTTTCTTACACTTCTGCAGTTGATCTGAGTCAAGGTCAGGACTGTCTCTACAGAGACTGCACTTAGTGTGAAATTCAATTTATCATGACTATGCACTATTGTATTTGTGATGGTTGCAAAGGATTGGTTTAAAAACAAAACAAAAGAAACAAACAAAAAAAAAATTTAAAAAAAATTAAGACATCAGCAATGCTGAGAATTCAAGAGCCTTTTCTATAAAAAGCTCTTAAAGCCAAGTAACTGCCAGCAGATGTGAATAAACTGGTTGTATTCATGAAAACAGGTTTAAACAAATATGAAAAAAATCAACCAAAGGTAAGTAAGACAGCATTTTACATCACAGAGGTGCTTCTTGGGGAACAGAAGTCTCATCTCTAACAACAGTAGTCTGTCCTCTTAGCCCAAGAGAGCCAACACAACTATGAAAGAGTGAGCTGGACCCTTTCGGGTCTTGGGCAATCAACAGCACAACTGAGTAACATTCCTTATACTCCACCTGCTACTCAACATCTGGGCTGGATGGATCTCAAGTCTAACCCAGCCTACACTTGCAGTTATCTTAACACAAATAAAAGGATGCTGGCTTATTATTCAGATCCCAGGAGAAAACAGAAACATAAGAGTCAAATAACGATTCAGTACCTCAGGGTACTGCTTGGGGGTGACTGCAGCTGACTGTACCATGCCAGTACTGTTTTCCAGACTAAAGCTACATGCTATATAAATCTCTTATGCAATAAATACTTGCACAATCACTTGCTGAATAGACAGAAATGGCAAGAGAATTCATTGCAGCTACAACTGTAATTTGGAAAGATAGCAGAGCTTATGCAAAGGGCTTATGCAAAAGCTCTGCAAAGAGAAGAGGGATGAAGTTCACCTGTTCACAATACTGATCAGCTCTTTAAGCCTCTCTTCTCCCTTGTGTCTCTCAGCTTCACTTGCATCCGCATCTCTGCCTTTCAAGATGGGCATTTCAAAATGTCTTTTAAATTCCTGTGCAGTCCCTGTACAAAACAGAAGTGAGAAGGTGAGAACTACTACCAAATAACCTCTGATCAGTATCCCACAGCACCAGTTATCACACCCCAAGCACGGAGCCCAGCAGATAAAACAAACCCTCATCCCATCCATATGACTTGTTTTTTTTCTAGCCAGGAAAAAAGATTCAAACAAGGCAGGCAAATGAGTACAACAGAAAATCATTTTGTACTCCAACAACAATGCACAGCCAAAGGTCACACAATTTCATTTAAACCATCAGGCACATACTGTTTTTGTTCACATTCCAGCTGTACTTTTACTCCCAGATTTTGTCCTTGCAAACAAACAGCACAGGCATTATGTGTGCCTACTCCAAAATTATCTGTAATCAGTTGCTTATTACTGGTCACAGGCTGAAAGTGGGAAAAATGACTACTGCATGCATGCAGCTTTGCTGCAGTAGTTCCACTATGAACCTCATCTCAGGAAGAAGGAACTGGAAGTACAGGGAGACTAATCTTGCCCAGAGTACAGGTCAAGGGGGAGGTGGGTGAAACCACATCAGCTCCCTGTAATAACTACCCAAAATTGAAGCACATGGAACAAGCAGATGTAGAACACCTACCACCCATTCCATCCTTTCCTTGAGAACTCCTGGGGGCAGAACAGCTGAACAGAAAAAGATACAGCCCCAATGTATGAGGAGTTATAGCAACATGTGTGTTGCTATAACACACATGTTGTGTGTGAGGAGTTATAGCAACAAATGTGTGCTATAACTCATGTGTGAGGAGTTATAGCAACAAATAAATGATTTACACATTTGTTTATTTTAATTCCTTGGCAGAAAGAAAATGACCTCTTGACAAAGACAAGCTATTCCACACTGAAAAGTAGACCTGCTCCCAGTGATACAGGAGAGGATGCAAAAACTACTTTGCTTCTGAAACAAAGAGCTTGCAGACATAAGCAGAGCACAGAAGCCAGAGACAGAAGATTTCAGTCTGCTACCAGCAGTTGTAGAAGGTGTTTGACCCTGAAAACTCACACTAATCAGTATCTCTCCTCCAGACTCTTTTCTATCTCAGATGAAGTTAGCCCCATATTCATAGGCCTCCCTTGCCTTAAAAAACAAGAGCAGTCTTAACTCCAACTGCTAGACATCACCCTCAGCTTTCTCTGAGAGTATCTGAAAATGGGATGGCAGACTGCCAGAAATTTGGGCTTTGTTGCCTAACTCTTCCACAAGATACATTATTCCACCTTGCACCAATCACTTCATCCCCCTGATGGGGATGAGAGCAGGGAAAAGCTGTCTCCCAGGCTGTCTCTATACTCAACGCAGACACAATGTCACATCAAACCCTCCTCACCATGGAGCCTCTCTCCTACAAAGACATCACTCCTGGCTTAGGTTTCTGAATTCGCTATAACCTGGGAGTGTTGTGGCAAGTACCATTATGGGCTGGACCTTCCTGCCCAGCAATTCCTGTGGTATCTCCAAGGTCTTACTGTCAGAGAAACTCCTGGCCTATGTGGACATTTTAGCTGACCATTATAGCTACTCAAGATCAGCCACGTAGGACTCATATATTCATTTCACCTTAATTGATTTCCCTTCCAAAGTACCTGTTACACTGGTGTGCTTTAAATTACAACCTTCTTGAAACAGAGCTCTGGTGATATACAGCCTCTAGAACAGAGGACCTTGATCTAGACTTTCTGGATACAAACTGAGAATAAGTCTCGTTGAATCGCAGAACGGTTTGGGTTGGAAGGGACCTTAGAGATCATCTATAGTTCCAAGCCCTCTGCCATGGTCTTTCCTCCCACTAACGTCTCAGTTGTTGCTGGCCAGCAACTCCCCCTCCCTCGCATCTCTCACACATTCACCTCTTACCAAGGATGCCCGAATTGACGAAGTGCACCAGGCTGAAATACTCAAGCAGGTCGTTCTGAATGGGGGTGCCCGAGATCAGGACTCGTCGAGGTGTGTTTAAGCTGTTGAGAGCTTGGTAAGTTTGGTTTTCAGAGTTCTTCAGTCTATGGCCCTTTAAAAAACAGAAAAAAGGAATTAAGCCGATAAATCCAGCGGCCCCGTTGGGAAGCAGCTTGGAGAGCCTTGTCAACACTGATATGTTGTATCTCCCACAAGGCATCTCATCATTTTTCCTATTCCCGGTAGTGGAGTAAGTGTTGCAACAGACTTCTTTCAAAGGCAAGAATCTGGTGGAAAACCTGAAGCCATTATGTGAGGAAACATGACATTACAAGCTTCCCAGACCAGGAATATGAGTCACATGCAGGCAAGAAGGCCTACCATGAAAAGAACAAGCACCATATGGTATAAGAACTGTTTTCTGTTCAAGGACAGGGATGTTTTCTGCTACCTATACCAGGCACTGAACTCTGGACCAGTAAAACTGCTTCACCCAAAAATCAAGATCACAAGCAATTCAGTCCACAAGCAAAGGTCCAGGATTGCCAGACCTTTGCACACTAATAAAAAGAGGTTCTGCATCTCTCACAGGGTAATCTGAATACAGGCCCCATTTCTCATGCCTGATAAAAGCAACTTTATTAGCATCTGAGCGCTACGTAGGACAAAGCACAAGTGATAAGATGCTCTTTACAAGTGCCAAACCACATCAGAGATGAGTATTTATTGAAAGCATACAGAAGACACAAGGCCAAGGACATGCATTCCCAGCCTCCCTATCTGCTGGCCCCATCCCAGGGGCACTGAGAAGTACAGGCAGTCACGGACTGAGCAGATAAAAGGTGTATGGGAAGTACACTCATGAGGACGTTTGTTCTTTATAAGCTCCTCTCAGCACTGTTCTAGCAAGTACAAAGCCACACCACTGGGTGGCACCACTATTTAACAAATCCCCTCTATGAGGCAGTTGTGGACACCTCAACAGCCACCGAGGCCCCAGATGGACCATTTCAAGGAGGCAGAGGACATTTGTTTTATTTTGTCCTTCAAAGCATCTCTGGCTCTCACTACCTATAAACAGGGAACTATAAACGAAAAAACAACTCGATTTCAGCCAAGTGAAAGCAGAGCTTGACAACACGGGCTTGGCAAAGCTTGATCCAGCAGTTGGTGAGCTGGGAGTCATGCCAGCTCTGTTTCCTCTTGAACAAACAGCATGAAGTGACTCCTTACCTAGCTCTCGTACCTCTGCCCCAAGCATGAGACAACAGAGAGGGGAAAGAGGGTCCTGCCATGGGGGTGCTCTTCAAACTTCCCCCACAGGCACAGAATAAGATGGCCAGATAAGATGGCTGACAGCAGCCAACACTACACACAAGAAACAAATCCCAGAGTTATTTAGGCTGGGAGAGACCTTAGGGGTCTCCAGTCCAACTCCTTGCTCCAAATAGAGCCAAGTTAAAAATTACTGGGCAGAACATGAGGCCAGGCCAAACAGAAAGTATTTCTCACTTGAGTACAGACAAAACCAAATGAAAGCCAGATCAATGAGCCAGGGTCAGGATCTCTATGATCCCAACACAGTCAGGCAGGCAGTGGACCTCCTTTCTGCTATGCATTTCACGCTGAGAGGGCCCTAGCAGGTCCCAGAGGTCCCAGAGGGACCTACAAAGCAGCCACAGTTACCACCAACTGGATTTTCCTCATATCTTGGCTCACAGAGACACCCTCTCTCGTTCAGGCTCACAGAGTCAGGTTGATCTGGTTACTCAGAGCCTCTCAAACACCAGAATGGGTGCTGTCCACAGCTAAGCCTTGTTTCCCACTGTACACTTCCCTTTCAAGAAAGCAGATCAGGTTTCACCCAGATCTTGAGAAAATACCAGGAATGGATTCTCCTTAAAGATGCCCCAGTACCTCATCACATATGACCAGCCCAACACTGCCCTTCTGCAACACCTCGGCGTGGAGTCGGAAGGTTTCATAGGAGATGATCAGGATGGGTGAAGGCACTCGCAGGCCACGCTGGTTCATAAAGCCAACTGCAGATGGAAAAGGGGGAAGGAAAAAAAAGAAGGATGATGAAAAGTAATAGAAAATGAGTCAAATAGCCAAAACTTTTGCCTTAAAAATCTTGGAAAACCTGCCTGTTTCAACTGCTCTGCAGCATCCCTTCCACACATGTATATCCACGCTCCTTTCCCCACACTGTCCCCATTTCCATTACCCTCCCACCTCCTTTCCTGCCTTGTGGCTGGAGCAAAGTAAGAGGCACTGGGACTGCCCTAACTTTACACAACTGGATCTGGATTATTCCAAAATATCAACTATTACTAAACATGCAAGGGTCTGATCTAAACATGTCAGTGGAAAGACTTTAATCAATCTCCAGAGCTCTAGTGACAGCTCAGAGATGTTCCCATCAGCTGCCATGGGCTTCTCCCAATGCAAGATTTTGACCTAAACAAGTCAAATGCACAGTTTGCAAACATTTCTGTACCTAGTTTACGGTCAATCTCTTCTTTGGAGCCTCCATCAATGGCCAGTGGCTGGATCCTTCCCCCCAGCCATTTCTCCACCTCGTTGTACCAGTTTCTCACCAGGCTGGAGGGAGACACCACCACGGCTTTCTCGATTTCAGGTTTGCAGTCCGGGCTCTGCCGGAGGAGCGTCCACATGAGTGTGATGCACTGCAGAGTTTTGCCCAGCCCCATTTCGTCTGCCATGATACAGCCATGACTCCCGGGGATCCGCCGGCTCGTCACACAGTCCCACAGGAATTTCACTCCCTGCCAAAAAATTGTTCTCTCAGAGCAGGATGGGGACATCAGCAGCAGAACGACAACTTCATTACCACAATGCACAGGAGTGATACTGCAACAACCAGCGCACACACACATCCCTGGGGACATGCAGTGTTCTAATGAGACGGAGGGAAATCACCCGAGACACAACTAAAATGCAGCCACATCTGGTTTGGAACGACATTGCTCGTGCCAACATGTACCTCATAACACACAGGAAATCATACTACATTTTAATTGTACAGTTATAACCAGTTTCCTGACATGAATTCCCAGAAATTTCTACCCTTGACTGCATTAGGCAGGCCCAGGCCATAAATTAACATGCATTGATCACTTCAAAGAGGTTAATCATCTTAACGACACCCAATTAGGTAATTTTAAAAGCACAGAATTATAGAGCGAGCAGAATTGTTTCTGCTGCCCGATTAATTCCCAGAATACTCTTAGCAGCCTTCATCACTTCTGCCTAGAAGCACAATGACTCACCTGGGGGCTCAAGGTCCAAAGCAGATTTAGCTTTAGAGAAGGCACAGGGCTGAGGTTATAACCCACGTCACATGGTGGGAGAAGAGCTCAGCCCTGCATTAGGCTCTGACACATCACTGAGACAGATAAAAGGGGGGGGGAAAAAAAGAAACATTCTGCAAAATGTTCCTCTACCATGTGATGATAAGAGAGTCAGAGAAAACCAGGGCATTGTGCTGGGAAAGTACAAGCTCCCTGCATTGTGTCAACAGAGCAGGGAGCAAGGAATACAACCTAAACACACCTGCACAGATTCACCCCTCTGTACTCCACTATTAAGGACTGGAAGATGGAGCACCTTCACTTACATTCTCAAGTCCTTTCTTTCTTAGGCCCTTAGCAACAGGCTAATGGAATGTATTTAAGCCAGTTGAACAATTATGACTTATATTACTATCCACAAGCCTGCATTTGGCTGCGGATCCAGCACCCGGGCAAAAGTCACAACAAAGCTGGAGCAGAGCTGTACAACTCTCTAGGAGAATCACCTGCATAAAACAGCACAGGAATCTTAGCAGGAAGAGACTTACTCGTCAGACTAGAACAGAAAGTGTTGTATCAGAAATATCTACCTGCCAAAAACCAGCAGAGACACCAACATAACTTCGAGTACTTGACAAAAGCACCAGCAGGAAGTAGCTCACACAAAACCAGAGTGCCTCCAGCCATGTAGCCAGGGACGAGCACTACACCGGGTCACAGGTTCAGGACCAGCTCTGAGATAAAAGTACAAGCTATGAGCAGCCTACAGCACCCTCAGAGCCATGTGAAGATCTGCCAGGCAGGGACACATCCAGCTTGACCTGCTTAGCCTGCAAGATCAGCAATCACAGCTTCCATCTGTGCTGCCTCCAGGCTCAAATGATAATATACTGCATCTGGGATGAACTTCTAACTGTCCAGATACCTGCAGTAGGTATTTGGAGGTTTGTACCCACTGCTGCCATACTGTGATGTTGCACATATTTACAACATATTTTTTGGCACTGTCCACTGTCATGTGTAGGTCAGAGACAGCTCACACCTACAAAGGGCAGCCTCCAAATAAAGCATACTGAAGTAGGAACCTACTCCACACTTTGTTGGGTAACATGGTACCAGAAAGAGGAACTTCAGTGTTTCCTGGCTCAGGAAGTGCAGATCCAATCAATTCTGCTGACCAGTAAAACAGTGGTGGACAGTCTGCCTTGCTTGACTCAAGACTGGGTTGCAACAGAGTTTATTGCAACTATATCCAATCAGCAGATCTCCATCTCCAGACATCAAGTTAAGTAAAGGCAGGACTTTCAGCCCCGACTCTTTGCTTAAAAAAGGGACAAAGAATATTGGCAGCATTCAGGCATCTAAGAGGATGGTTAAAACCATGTTCAGTTCACATTTGCAACAGACAGTCCTTTAGACTGTCACAGACTGTCAGTCTGTGAGGTCTATGCAGACCTGTAACAATTCCAGCAGAGGAACTGCAGCTTTTTGAAATGCACCAAGCCCTTCCACCACACCCTCAGGTCCCGATGGAAAACTTACTTCTCTCTGATGGGGTCGTAAAACACGGCTGAGGACAGGATCCACCACAACATGGACAGGTGCTTTGTCCCTGCAGGAGGCAGTCGAGGAAGAAGATTGTGATTAATGAACCCAGCACAGCATATGTTTAAGTTTTGTTAAATCTCACTGTTATCCTGAGGACTTCCCTCTGGTACAGGGGAAGTAACTGCCAAGAAGAAAGTGAAAAATGGATTAATTCAGTTCTGAGAACGAAGTCACAGAGGCCTGATCCACAGTCCAAACCATCAGTGAAACCATGTAGGTGGGCTGTGGTTAAAACAAGGGCAGAATGTTTTTCAGAGACACAGTTTAAAAGTCATTATTGTTTTTCTTGTTTCAATAACAATATTGTAATTGTATTCCCGGAGAGAGAAACCCCCTCCTCTGCCCATGAAGATCTAGCTGACAGCCCTTTTAAGTTATAACAGCGGCTTAAAAGAAACTACTTCAAAATTAAAACCATTAGGCAGCCTAACACTGAGTGTCAGTCATCTCCCTCTGCTTGTCCTTAGATGCTGATGTTTCCTGACTGACAGCTAAGCCATAGGATTTTCTAAACAGCTTCTCCATGCGTGCAGGCTCATTCCCTGCAACAGATTTAAATTTTTGATGCGTGGGAGATGAAACAGTCTATGGAAGAACACAAACAATCCTGCATGGGTACATTCTTTCTTTGATTGTTACCATGCCTGAACCAATTCAGAGGCAGAACACTTGGAAACAAACTTCCCTTGATGTTCAGACCCCAGCTCAAGCACGTATGGGAGAAAAGCACATAAACCTACACCTAGCAGGAGGTCAGAGCTGCAGCATTTCTGCCAGGTGATGACTCACTTGTCTATTTTCAGCTGGTCGTGGGCACTCAGCACCGGGGGCTCGTACAGAACCAGAGCTCCTTCCTCAAAGGGGTCATGGAGAGGACTCCTCACTCCCGCCCGTTTGATCCCCAGCGCGCGCAAGCCCAGGGGCCCTGAAAGCGAAAAAAGGCACAACTCAAAGAACAACATCTTCCTGGAAGAGAGCTGAGCCTTGCAGGGGAGTTGGATTACGTTTAGGAACAGTGAATTAATTGGGTGCTGGAGTGGAGGTGCACGCACAGCTGGTGCAGACAGCAAACTAAGCAGGGCCATTGTTTGGCAGCGCTCTGCGGGCGCTCAGCGGGAAGCTCTGCGGCAGGGAAGAACAGAACAGAAGGAACAGAGGAAAAGATGGAGCAGTGGCACTGCTGCCCGAAGATGGTTGTTCTGGCTTTTTGAAAGCCAAGTAGGGCTCCAGAATGTGCACCTCAGCAGCTCAATAAATACACTCCCACATACAGTATATACTGGATCAAATCCTCTTTTGGGATCACCTAACCCAGACTTAGCCAGAGATGCATCTCTGATGCAAGGTCAGGAATTGATCTTTAACAGCGATGAAGTTCTACAGTATCACAGTTAGCATCACACATACTGCCACTACTTACTTGCTAGAGTACAATAATATTCTAACATTATTTCCTCTCTGATGACCAACAGGAGATGTTTGACCCTGCAACCAATTTCTTTGAATAACAGAAACCAAGCTCGAGTCCCTTTTCCTAGTACTGTATTTTGATGTCACAGTTTTGGAACGGAGATGAACACAAAAAGAGCATAAGAACAAAAAGAAATCCCCTTTCCCACCAAAACTCGGGCAACTGTGCTCCCAGGATTGATTTTGCTTGGAAAAGATTCAGTCAGGGTCTGTTTGTCTACTGCTTGCTAAGGTTCCTTGCAAAACAGGAGTGTATCACAAACTGAGGCAGCAGCACACACACACACACACTCCAAGAAAAGAGCACGCTGAACAGCCACACTTCCCAAGAAAGAGAGGAAGATAACAGCCAGAGAAAGCAGCTCTCAGTTATAGCTCTGTTTCTGCCTCCTGACAAATCCGCTTTTCCACAAAGCTAACTCTGCCAAACTCTTCTGGGGCTTGTCATTCCATATTCAGTGTCTGCTTACAGGCGTATTTTTATAACTAAGGTTTGAGTGAAACTGGTTGATCTGCATTCGAGTTTTTCAGCTGGAGGGTGAAGGGGAAACGAGGGACACGAACAGGCCCGTTTGTTTCTGAGATCTTGTGTTTCACTGATTCAAACCAGCTGAGGCTTTGAACTTCAAAACTGTCTTGTTTTGAAGATCACCTTGAGGCTCAACACACCAAGCCAAGCAGAAATAAAACTGGCACACACGATCTCTTTCACCTCAGCCTTCTGTCTGTTAGTATCATTATTTAAATGGTAAACCTTCGTGGCTTGGAATTCATCTTGCTTTTGTATTCGTGATACAGTGTAAAATCTCCTGGCACTACATCAAATGCATAGCAGTAAGACTACAAAATCCAATTCTGAAATGTAGGATTATCCAAACTAAATACTAGTAAGAAATATGAAGACTTTGCTAATATGCCAGTATTTTTCTTTCAAAATTAAGTCAGGATTTCTGGAACACATGCATCAGTGCAAAAAATAATAATAATCCCCACAGATGTATTTGACAGGCCTAAGCATCATCTGTTTTACCCGAGTCAGCCAACACAGACAATCCTTAAACCTCCTCATCTTACCTTTATAATTTGGAATGGGGACTTTGAAGGGTTTGGACAAAATGCTGCGGATAAAAGCCTCCTAGGAATTCAGAAAGAAAACACATTTAAGAAGCCTGAAATCAGAGATTGCTCAAGAAGGCAAGTCCAGGACATTTTTCAAAAACTCAATTTTGCCAAGTGCTCAGAGTTCCTCTATTTAATCTATTCAAGCTTCAACTCCAACTATTTTCAAGAAAATCCAAAAGGATGAAAGTCACAAATCAGCACTATTCCCTCCACCAACTCCACTTTTCAAAATGATTTTCCTTTGGGTTTTCTAATGCATGAAATTGAACTCCCATCTTCCTAAATCCACCAGCTTTATTCATTTCTTTAAAAGCTATAGCTTCCCCCTGCCTTGGTAATTCAGTCAGGCAACTCATTTCCTGTAAAGGATCTGGGTTACCATTGCAGGAACATCCATGCTGGATCAGCAAGCACCCAGCCAGTCCAGCATCTGGTCTCCAGCAGTGGAAGCCTGGGGAGAACCAGGCAAGCAGCCAGCACTTGACCCACCTGGAGGGAAAGTGACCCATGTCCCTGGGCATTGTCCTTCAGCTGGGCCCCACAAAACTCTCTCATTCAGGATTTCCACTACAGGAAGCTCCCCCACCACACCTCCTTCAATATTAAATGGCTGGAGCTGGCAAAAGACCTCTCCTAAAGACTCTGTGTGTGTGTGTCGCTTCCATAATACCTCCGATTAAACGGGGCCACGGAAGCACTTGGACTTCCCCGATGGATGAGCACATGCTGTGGTGTGCCAGCAGCAACACCCACTCACATGCTGAGCGCTGTCCAGGCAGTGGGGTCTGTTGGTCAGAGCAGCCAAGGGTTTTCGGAAAGGCGACCTGTAACACTCCCCGCTCTCCGTCTCACCGCCGGCCTTCTGCCTCTTCCGAGCCTGGAAAAACGGAACCGCAACAAAACAACTCAGGGGCATCTGGCGAGACCAGAAAGATGCATCGCTGTCACACCCAGTGAGCACCAAACCACACAGACCATCAGCCAGGCAGCTGAGCAGCTCTGAGCAGACACAACCACCACTCGCCCCCGCTGCCAAATAACGGAGCCAGCAGCACCACCAAGGTCACTGTGCCCTGAAGTTTAACCTCTACCTGAAGCTTAAAATATTCTCCTAGCTAAGAAAACAAGAACCACCTGCTAACCTGTAAAAGGGCAGGCTTGTCCACACTAAGATTAGTCCTGTCCTATCCCCTCGAAAAAGCGGAATTAAGATAAGGAAGGGTCAGTAGCAGAAAACGAACTACATGCACGTCCCCAGAGGCTCTCATGGCACCTGTTGTTGTGCAGGTGAAAGGCCTCACACTGAAACCTACATTTCAAACACTTAGAAAGGCATGAAAATAAACAAGTCGTTGATCTGTTTCCGAACTTAACACAGTTAAGTCAGCTTCTTCAGCCTCTTCACCTTGAGGCATGGTTTCAACCACCTGCTGGCATAGAAAAATGGATTTGACACAGAGAACACTAGGTGAGACTCTCTGACCTGTCTGACATAGAACATAATTGTAAATTAGGATTAGAGCTGGGACTAGTGTCATTATGAATGGCTAAACGAGGTCTTAACTGTGTCTTACAGATAATTGGTGAAATTGATGCTCCTGTGTCCTGTTACAAAAGAGGTAACCTTCTGTTTTGTCTAAAAACACTGACCTATTCCCAGTTACCCACCCCTTCACAAAGCACTGGGAAGCTCTCCCGGGGACCACTTTTTCCATAACCACGAGCATCATCGGTACACAACGAAACTCTTCCGTCAGCCGCATGCCCAGACACAAACTTTTAGCGCAGGTGGTGAAAACAGCATAAACGTGGGGGCTGATGCCCAGACACAAACTTTTAGCGCAGGTGGCGAAAACAGCACAAACGCGGGGGCTGATGCCCAGAAGGAGGATCCGGCACCGCGGCGGGACTTGGATGCGCCGCCGCCGCCCCGCATCCCCCTGCCCACGGCTGCGGGGGCAGGGGAAACACACACACCCCCCTGCACACCTCAAACCCCGCCGGGGCCCCTCGCTCACCGCCGGGGGGTGCCAGTCCTCCTCCTCCTCTTCCTCCTCTTCATCGCCCGCCTTCCTCTTGGCCAGCTGGCTGGGGGCCAGGCTCCTCCTCTGGGACAGAGGCACAACACACACGTTCACACAGAGTGAAGGGCCGGGGGACCCCGGCGCAGCCCCCCCGGCCCGGTGCCCCCCACACACACACATACACCACCACCACCCCCCTTTTACCCACCATCGCCTCACGGATCCTGATCCCGGCCCCAGTCCCGGCCCGCGCGCGCCGCGCCGATGGCGGGAAAAGCGGCGGGCCGGCCCCGCCCCACGGCAACAGGCGTGGCTAAGCGAGCGCCGATCCGCATCGACCCGCTCGGCGCTCTGCGCAGGGAGACGGGGAAGGGAAGGGGGAAAGTGAAAGGGGGGAAGAAAAAGGGGGAAAGGAAAGGAAAGGAAAAGGGGAAAGGAGGAAAGAAAAGGGAAAAGGAGGAAAGAAAAGGGGGAAAGGAGGAAAGAAAAGGGGGAAAGGAGGAAAGAAAAGGGGAAAAGGAGGAAAGAAAAGGGGAAAAGGAAGGGGGGGGAAGGAAAGTAAAAGGGGGAAAGGAGGAAAGAAAAAGGAGAAGGGGGAAAGGAAAGGGGAAAAGGAAAGGGGGGAGGAAAAGGGAAAGGAGGAGGAAGGCATGGTGGCTCAGGCACTGTCAGGGAGTTGGGTGCCATTTCCACGCAAAGGTGTGAAGACGGACTTGGGCTGTAAAATGAAGCAAGCTGGACACTGGATCCGAAGGCAGACCCCCAGCAGACCCCCATGGCTGCAGTGATTCCTGGCAGCAGGAATTACAGCACTGGGTGTTGTGACAGGAACAGGCAGGTGACCCTTGGCACTGAGGAAAGAGGAGAGGGAGGTGCCATCCCTTCACAGTTGTATCTCAATTTGGCACAATCTTAGGTTATTTTGCAAGTTTACCTGTTCTGACAGGTTTGACATTATATATTGTCTATGACATTATGGCTGATGCAAAATCTCTGATGATGGGCCAGCATCATTTTCTGCACTCATGGAACAAAAAGAAAATCCCTTTGGTACACTCTAAAGGGTATTTGTGGGGGTTCGGGGTGAAAAGCAAGCTCAGGGCAGCAGCTATTTCAGCATAGATTTGTTTTGCATCGAAGAGAAGGGCAGGCTAGTCCTCAGGAAAGATCAAGGCTGTTGCTGTTCCATGGATCTCAGCTGACATGATAAATGAGGACTGGCGCTCACCAAGCAATTTAAAGGCCAGACATTTTACAGGGTGCAAACCTACAGCATTTTGAAGACACACAGCTAAATTACCCTTCTGGCTACACAGGGAAAACCCAAAACAACTCCATGAAATAAGCCATGTCCTCTGACACATGCAGTTAACCCTTCTGTTGTCAGACAGTGAAGGCATCCTCAAGATGAGATTCCCACGCACCTTGTGATACTAAGATGTGCTGCTCAAAGGCCTTGGAGCACATCCTCTGGAGCCTATGGATTGCTGGAGGCCTCAGCAGCTGACAGTGTTAATAGATCCTGGGAAATCTGGCAGATCTCCAGGCCCTGTCTGTGGAGCACCTGGGGGCAAGGCAGGGAGTGAAAGGTGGCCTTCAGTGCAGTCCAGCAGAGCAAACATATGCAAAGCCCTCCAGCTCTTGAAAGGACTTTGTTTTTCCTTCCTTTTCCCAAAGGAGAAAGGGAATGATGGATTTTCCCTTTGTTGGTTGTTTCACTGGTAAACCTAGGGAATAAACTAAATGCAAACACTTACTTTGGTCACCCGCAGTTGCACAGCTGACCTTCTTAAACATCAAGAAAGCCCCTTTAGCAGTATCCCCACCTCAGTTACATCCTGTTTTACTATTCAGTTTATTAAACATCTACATTAATACAGTTATACACCTTTAAAACATAAAATAGGGTGGATATAAGACAAAGCCAAATCCTTGTGTTTGTAGGACTTGAGGTGTAAGTGGGCATAGATCCCCTGCAGCCATTTTTACACCCCCTGAATATCTAGTACCTTAACTTTACTTTTTTCCCCCCTTGTCTTTTTCAAGTCCAACCATTTGCCAGCATTTTATTCCTCAAGTGCTTTCAGAGCTCCGTGATGAATGTTAGATGTTGCAATTACTGGCTCACTGGGCAGAGAGTGGTTCTATAGGAAGGTAATTGGCTATTTTTCCTGTCATGAATAATATTCACATTAATAGCCTCCCTCACCATGGCTTTGAGAGCAGTTCTGCTCTGTGCTTTTTTTTCCCTGCAATGGGAACAGACACATTTTCTGGCCCAGGCCGGGCTGAGTCAATAATGAGGGGAAGGGGAGGAAAAATTCCTGCTCTGTGTAGAGCAGCACGAAAGATCTTAGTCATCTTACACCCAACACAGAACTGCTGAGGACTGTGTCCTGCCACAGCTTTTCCTCTCAAGTCCCAGAGGGAAATTTGGGGTGATGCCAATGTCTGAGTGCAGCCAGCCCGCTCAAGACTCAACCACACTACAAGCCTGGGGCAGGGTGGACATGCATGAGAGACACCTCCTCTCTTCCCAAAGAAATTTGCTAAGAGTTAGAGCAGAAAGAAATACATTTTTCTTTTTCCTGAAGGGAAGACCATAGGGCTTGCCCAAAGCTTCAGGAGCAGCCAGGGACCAGGTCAGCCCTTTACAGGGCTGTGGGTCCCAGGGCAGACGCCACTCAGTGTTCTCTTTTCCACTCTTCTCTCCAAACTAGCACCTTCAGGCAGAGGTTAAGTCCTCCCTCTCCCCCTTCTCTAATTACACAATTTACTCCTTTTCTACTGTAATCAGCTCCCATTTATACAGCCCTGAGAGATTGCAGGATAATCACTATGGGGAATAATCCTGTCATTTCCCTTGCTGTCTCTGCAGGATATTGAGTCCCTCCAGTACAAGAAAGGAGAGGGGAGGATGCCAAACATCTTCCTCAGGGACTCTATAGGATTAGCTGAATAAAAACAGTCAAAAAATATTTTAAAATTATCAAACAGAGCCTGTCTTCCAGTCACTACCATGGTCTGAGCTCATGGCACTCCCTCGGTGACAAACACCACCACATCTCAGTGGGACCACAGCAGCTCTTCACTGACCTCCCTGAGCTATGGGTTCTCTCTTCTTTTACACCCTCCTCATCTCCTTTTTTTTTTTCTTTTTGAGGCTCCTTCCTTTTCTGTGGAGCACAGACCCTCTCCAGTTCCCCATGAAAACTTTGAAGAAACATGTTGGAGGAACTGAGGCCTCTTACCCTGCTCTTCACAGGCAGGAATAAGGACAGGTCCTAGGCAAGAGAACTTCTGACCTTCACAGCAGGCAGAAAACAGCATGAGGGAGAGATAATGCAAGAAAATATCTCCTAATGGAAGGACACCTCAGACCTTGTCTAACAGCTTCAGCCATTATGCAGTGAGAAGAGGAGGTGAACATCTGTAATTATGATCAGAAGGGCAGAGCTACAGCTTTAACAAACTCTGGCAGTGCCACCTGCATCTTCTTGGGTGAAGCTCTGAAGAGACCAGGACTGCAGGATGAAGATCCCGGTGCACCAGCGTAGTTTGACCATATTCAGTTGAGAAAGTAATTAAATATCCTTCCAGTTAATTCCTTTGCAAACCACGAGAGGGAAACTGAGTATGATCATAACAAGTTACTGTCAGCTGGAGTTGTGATCCCGTTTCATCACCACCAGAGACAGCTCATCTGCCCTTCCAACAAAGCCACTTACTGAGAGAGGAAACATTAAGTGCTTTAAAAATATTAACTCCAGGGAGAAGAATCTTCTTCCTTTCTGGAGGTCAGACACCATTCCACCCGCAGCCAGGCCGCGCGCTGGAAGGAGGCAGAAGTTCAGCAGCGAGGATCCCAGCGCTGCTGCTGCTGCTTTTGGCATGTTTGCATGATTATCACCCAAAAGAAAACTGAGTCATGAGCCCAGAGTGATGCGAGTCAGGCGGCTGAGACACATCCCACCCCCGGCCGTCTGGCTGCTGAGCTGCCACAGCACTCTGAGCACTTAGAGCTGTGCCCGGAGGCTGCAGCTGCGGGGCTGACCCACATCCCACCCAGCCATCCCTGCAGGACCCTCTGGCACACCTTGAGCCCCCTGTAGCCTGAGCCCCAGGTGAGCACACCTGGACATGCACAACAGCTCTCGTGTCCCACAGCAGAGTGGCACAGCCGGGTAACCCCTGCCTGTGTTGGTCATGGAGCCCTCCACCACCACGCATTACATACCAGATTTCACAGTTTTCTTTTGATTCCTTTATGACTGCTGTCCCTTTGGCTCCAGTGGTACCTAATCCTTATTACTGTTAGAAGAGAGAAAAATAAATCTTTGCTAATCTTGTTTATTTACAAAAAAAAAAAAAAGACCCACAAAATCCTATTTCCTTAAAGTAGCAAAGGCAGAAGAAACAGGGGAAAAAATCTGCACAGCCACTGCTCCAGTGAGCTCTGAGCCCCAGAAATGCTGCACACTCACTCTCTTCCTCATGGGTTTGGTGCATCCCTCTCCAAATACCTCCTCGTCCCTTGTGCTGGAAATCAAGCTGCCCTCGAGGACAGAGACCTCCACACCGTGCTGAGCCACAGGCCATGGCCTGAAAGCCATGAAGTGGAGAAGAGACCTGTGGCAAAGGGACAGAAGGAGGATGCAAGAAGAGGGGTGGCCTCCAGGTAATGCAGACACGTCCTCCAGAGACAAAACCCTGGGCTTTCTCCTTCTACGTTGTTGCTGCATCCAGCACTAATTACAGTCTCTGTCACTAATTTTATATTAATCAGCTGATTCCTCCACAGGCTCATGGTGCTGACTGAAGAGCACCTGTAAATGGAGGCTCACCCACCAACCTGAGTTTAGCATCACTCACCTACAAAGCAATTTCCCCCCATTGTGAGAAAAACCTGCAAAAGCAGCTTGAGTGCTTCAGGCATTTCCCACTCCTTGGGACTGCTGACTGCTTTCAGGAGCCAGCCCTTCATTCGAGAGGAAGGCTGTCCCCCACAGGGTATTTTCCCCTGTACCACCTTTGCATCTAATTTAATTTTTTTGCCAAAATGTTTTTAAACATGCATAAGTCTGACTCAGCAACCCAAAAGATTTCATTTGACGCAAAGCGAAATGTTCTATTTTGTTTATAAGCTAATTAGCTAGTCTTATCTCGTGTACCTTTATAAGCACATGCAAGCCAACAACACAAACTGCAAACATGAAAAAGCCTGGATTTAGGAAATGTCAGAGTCGAGCTATACTGGCACTTAAAAAAAACACTCCCTCATTTCTTAAGGC